CACGCCACCACACCCAGTCTCAACTGCCATCGCAGCATGTCCTGGGGCAGGGCCAACATGCTTTTAATCCACTGAGCTATTTGGCCGGCCCCAGATTCTTTGGCTTCTGAAAGGTCATAAATAATTTTATGTTCTTCCCAAAGAGCATCACATACAGACCTAAAACCATATAAGTCAAGAGAAATCTGATAAAGAAAGTCTAATAGCCGGATATGGTGGCACATGCCTTTACGTCCAGCACTTGGGACAGAGTCAGGAGAATCATTTCAAGTTCAAGATCAGCCTGGGCTACAAAGTCAGCTTACAGTCAGCCTGAATTACATTAACAAGACCCTGTCTCAAAAAGACAGAAAGAAAAAAAAAAAAAAGTCTAATAATTTACCCTGAAGGTGAGATGTGTGAGTCTCTAAAAAGAAAATGCTGGGCCAGGGAGATAGCTCAGTAGAATAAGTGCTTGCCTGGCAAGCACAGGGTCCTGAGTTCAATGTCCTGTACCACAAAAAAATAAATAAATAAAGTAAAATAAAATAAAAAGAAAATGCTAGTAAGTAAGCTTTAGTCACAGGCATAAAAAAGTTAAAGAAGGATGACAGCAATTGTAAATCTTGATCAACAATAGAAGTTCTGGGTTGGGAAGATAGCTCAGTGGCTTAAGTGCCTCCCTGGCAAAAGTAAGGTACTAAGTTCGATCCCCAGTACTAAAACAAACAAACAAACAAATAAACAATAAAAGGTCTATTTCTTTAGAAGTTCAACTGTAGCATGGACTTTGGATTAGACCTCAAGAGATCCAGGTTCTAGGCTTTAATGGTAAAAATAAAGAGGTTAGGGGCCAGCAAGATAGCTCAGCAGTCTAAGTTCCTGACTGGCAAGCATAAGGACCTGGGTTTAATATCTGGTACTGCATGCCATGCCAGCCCCACCCCCCCGGGCACACTGAGCTGGCCACCAAAACCAGGCATGGTGGTACACACCTGTAATCCCAGTGTTGGAGAGGCTGAAACAAGAGGATCACTACAAGTCTCAGCTGCGTAGTAAGACCCTGTATCAAATACATAAACTAACAAAAAAATAAAATAAAAATAAAGAGGCTGGATCTTTACCTCCTAGCTGTGGAATTCAAAACCACACTGCAACTGCTGCTGAGTATGAATTAGGTGAAACACACATCTTAAAGGGGTGGACAGGCACCTTGAGTGCCATCCTGAGATCAGCCCAATGAATTTAACTTACTTCACCCATTAATGTTGCAAAACTCGCTGTTTCTATACTTCAGGGAGAAGAAAAAAACACTGTAATAGGACAAGGAACACAAGTTAAGGCTAGATAGGACACTTGGTTTTAGTCTTTTATTTTATCATTATTATTTTCTTTATATTATTTATTTATTTGTGTGTATGTGTGTGTGTGTGTACCAGGGATTGAACTCAGGACTTTTATTTATTTTTTTTTGTTGTTGTTTTTGGCGGAACCGGGGATCGAACTCAGGCCCTTGTGCTTGCCAGGCAAGTGCTTATTCTACTGAGCTATCTCCCCAACCCTACTTACTTATTGAGACAGGGCCTAGCTATACTCCTTGAACTCGCAGGGATCCTCTTTCTTATTTTCTTACAGCTTTACAATATACAACTTTCACGGCATTCTAAAATTTGAGTCATACAGTGGTATAGACATGCTGCCAAGTATAAAAATATGAAGACATGAACTAGTAATATGAACAAATGTAAGTGGCTATAGTAGGGTATGAAACAGAAAGTAACATTTGTGAGCTATAATCGTTCACAAAATATTGCTCTATTCTCTTCTCAATGAAAATCACTTCACTCCTTCCCTTCTTCCCTTCTTGTGCCTCTCAACCTGTCTGAGTCCTGAGAGAGCAGACATCTGAGCCTTGTTTTTAAATAAATCATAACTGGGTAATGTTTCCTCTAAATGATTCAACTTCTAAATGGCATACAATTCAGACATGATGGGTCCTTACAATTTATTCTTCCTAACAAATTTATGCCTTTTATTCAATTTAGTGGCTGCCACAGGGTCAGCTGCAGACAAATTAGGAACATACTCAGTGAACTTCTATTCTTATCATGGTGTCCTTTTTTCCTAGGGTGGGGAAGGCACATGTGATCAAAAGCAGGATCTTAAATATGTTATGCAAATGTTTTACCACTGAATTATATCCCCAGGCCAAAGAGGTAATCCTTGAAAGCTCACTTTTTGTTAAAAAAAAAAAAACCAAAAAACAAAAAACTTTTATTTAGTTATTTGGTACAGGGTCTTGCTAGCTTAGACTCATAGTGATCCTTCTGTCTTAAACCTCCCCACTGATAGGATTACAGGCCTGTGCCACCACGCTCAGGGTTCCAGGGCCACATGGCACAAGGTACCGGGGATGGAACCTACATCTATGCACTTGCCAGGAAGGCACTTAAGAGTGCCGAGCTTTAGATCGCAGAGCAATCTCCCCCATCCGGAAACTCACTTTTGTAGTTCAAATGAACCTTTGGAAATAAAAGAAATTTACTATTTAAAATCCTCCTACAATTAACCCCAAGAATACTGCAATTGGGCCAGTGAAATGCATCAGCAGTCTAAAGCACCTGCTTAGGCAAGTGCAGGGATCAAGGTTTGATCCCTGGCACCAAATGCTGCACCAGCCCTGCCCCAAGGAGGGCCAATCAGGCCAGAAAAAAAAAAAAAAAAGAATACTATAACTGACAACAGCCATTGACAGTTCCCATTTTCCTATTTGGCTTCAGTCCCCTAAAAGCTAACCGACAATGAATGAAATGGCCACGTAGTCTGGTTACCTCTTTTTTTTTTTTTTTTTTTTTCAGAACTGGGGATTGAATTCAGGTCCTTGCGCTTGCCAGGTAAGTGCTTATTCCACTGAGCCATCTCCCCAGCCCCTGGTTACCTCTTTTTGGTACTCTTTATTTTCTTTAACTCAGATGTCCTCAGTACTCAGAATTACTTAAATCTCTTCATTCAACATACTCTAATGTATCTTTGGAGAATTAATTAAACCAAAAATATATTAAAACCTTTGGCTTCAGCAATGTATAGGTTTTCCAGGGCTGGAGAGATGGCTCAGTGGTCTAAAGCACCTACTTGAAACAAGCTTGGCAAAGCACAGGGACCACGGTTCGATCCCCAGCACCACATGCCAGCCAGCTCCGCCCCCTGGTGGGCTGAGCTGGCCACACACATACACACACAATAAATAAATGTAATAAATAAGCAATGTATAGGTTTTCTGAGAGGCAGGTCAGGAAAGAATCAAACTGCTTGGCCATAAACATTTAAATAAACTCATATTAACAAATCAAGGCACTTTTAAGGGCTAGGGATTTAGCTTAGTGGTAGAATGCTTGCCTAGAAAGCTGAAAGCCCTGGGTTTGGTCCTAAGCACCAAAAACACAAAATAAACCTCTCCTAAAAAACAATTCAGGGGCTGGGGAGATGGCTCAGCAGAATAAGCGCTTCCCTGGCAAGTGCAAGAGCCTGAGTTCAATTCCCGGTTCCGGGGGGGGAAAAAAAAAAATTCAAACACATACACACACACACACACAAATCAAGATACTTTTAATTTGGAAATCGGTCTTTTACAAAAATAAGCAGTTTTAAACAGCTATGATCCTAAAGGGGAAAAAAAAATTCTTTCCTACTCAGCAACTCTACTTCTGGTATCCACAAGATCTGAAAATAGTGTTCTGAAGGAATATTTCGTTGTTTTTTTTTTTTTTTTTTGTGACAGAACCGGGGATTGCTCAGGCCCTTGCAATTGCCAGGGAAGCACTTATTCCACTGAGCCATCTCCCCAGCCCAATATTTCTTTTTTTATTTGGTTGCTTTTGGCGTTTTTTTTGACACAGGGTCTGAGTATGAAATTCAAGTTGGCCTTGAGCTCCCTATGTAACCCAGACTGGCCTTGAATTCACTGGATCTTCATGCTTTAGACTCCTGAGTCCTGGGATTAAAAGCATGCACCACTACACCTGGACAATCTTGAAATATTAAGCTACGCAAAATAAGCTCATAAAAGGAAGAATATTGTATGAATCCATATATATACACAATACCTAGAATAGTCAAATTCACAGAGACAGAGTACAAAGGCTGGAGGAATGAAAAGCTGTTTAATAGATAACCAAGTTACAATTCTGGAAAACAAAGAGTTCTGCAGATTGGTTGTATACCAATGTGAATGTACTTAATACTACTGAAATACGACATTTAAAGAACTACTAAGATAGGGCTTGGGATATAAGTGTGATTCCCAGCACTGAAGAAAAAATTTAAAAACCTTCCCAAAGCTAAATAATAGGGCTGAAAGCTCTTTTAGCTTTGAACTACTACCATTATCTATCATGTCAACAGCATGTGGCAGGGTGCAAAGTCCAGCAAGACAAGCAGCTCTTTCTGAATACTCAGTGCCACTTAATGAAAGGTGTGTTGTCTGAAATAATTAGCTTCTTTAAAGGAATAGCTTTAACCTTGCTCTGGAACTGGTTAGCGATCTCGGTTTCCCTTCATTAAGTTCTTGACAGCTCAATGTCCTCACATCTGTCACTGTTTGGGAGACTGATTCCAAGAACATAAATTGCTTCAAGGACTAGGCAACAAATTAATTCTGGTTCACAGGACAGATTTGAACCCATCTGTTTTCTAATCAAAAGCCATATTTGAGTCAGTTTTGTTCCATCACAGGGCCAAACTAACAGGAGCAATATAATCATATGGTATTTTCATCCTTTCTATCTGTGTAGTATAAATGAGTACAGGAAACACACATCAATGAAATGCCCAAGAATATCCTCAGAAACTGGTTTTTCTAGAACGTAGAATTCACTAGTTTTTCAATCTCTGTCTCTTTTTAATCTTCAGACTTCATTAATTACTTTCCCTGAGTTCACAGTTTGTTTTTTTTTTTTTAGTTACACAGTTTTGATAGGAATTACAGAAAGGGTACAAATACTATGTTGTAGCAACCAACCTACCTTAATCTTTTTTTAAGTTGTAAACTGTCGTGGATGATCCTTTTAACAAACTCTAATTCACCACCTTCTGCCATGATTTCTGTGATACCTCCTGTATTTACAGAACTAGGTGGAGGTCTTCGAGAATTTCTAGAGTTTACTCCCTTTGCTTCCAATTGGTTGGCAAAAAAAGGAGG